CTGCAGCAGCAGCAGCACGGAGGCCCCACCCGTTGCAACAGCCGACGGAGTTGTCTCGATATCGCTGCTGCTGCTGTTTGCTGCTGCAGCGCAGCAGCAGCAGCAAACAGCAGCAGCAACAGTAGCGCTGTCAGCACAGCAGCTGGACCAGCACAACCCACAGCAGCCGCAGCAGCAGCAGTAGCAGTAGCAGCAGCAGCAGCAGAAACCCCAACAGCAGAAGAAGAGACAGCAGCAGCAGCTAAACCCTAAACCCTTAGAAAGATGGTGGAGCCAGATTACTCCGAGCTCATTATCCCCCGGTTAGCAGCGCTGCTGCAGTGTTGCTGCTGCTGCTGCAGTGTTGCTGCTGCTGCTGCAGTGTTGCTGTTTCTGCTGCTGTGTTGTTGCTGTAGCTGTTGATGCTGCAGTGTTCGCGCTGCAGTGTTGCTGCTGCTGCTGATGCTGTTGATGCTGCTGTTGCTGTTGCTGTTGCTGTTGCAGCTACGACCCTGCAGCTGATGCTGCACAGCGCCCATCGAAGAAGCGGAAGACAGCAGCAAAAGCAGCAGCAGCAGCAGCAGCAGAAGCAGAGACAGAACAGCAATCTGCCGCAACAACAGACGAAGAAGTGGAGCAGCAGCAGCAGCAGCAGCAAGAGCAGCAGCAGCAGCAGCAGCAGCAGCAGCTGAAAGCCCCTGCAGCAATAGACCCTCTGGAGTGGGCGCGAAGCCTTTTCGGTGATTCTGCTGCAGCAACAGCAGCACCCGGAGCAGCAGCAGCAGCAACAGCAGCAGACACAGCTGCTACCCACAAGCCAGGTAGAGCGGGCCCAAAGAGCAGCAGCAGCAGCAGCAGCAGCAGCAGCAGCAGGAGCACAGCAGTGCAGCGGCTGTCGCTGCCTGCTTGTGCTGCTGAATTGAATTTCCGAATCCCCGCATTCGTCAGTCAAAGAAGCAGCAAAGAGGTACAGATAGTAGCGAGTTGCTGCTGCTGCTGCTGTTGCTGCTGCTGCTGCTGCTGCTGCTGTTGCTGCTGCTGCTGCTGTTGCTGCTGCTGCTGCTGCGTTTCCTGCACCCGCATCTGTGCATGTTGAACCCATTGCAGCTGCTGCTAATGCGGGTTTGTTGCTGCTCCCGTCTTTGTTTATACATGTGCTCTGCTGTTGCTGCTGCTGGCGTAGCTGCTGTCGTTGTTGCTGTTGCTGCTGCTGCTGTTGTTGCTGCTGTTATGTTTGCTGTTGTTGCTGCTGTTATTTGCTTCACCCCGTCACGTTCTCATTTCTTCTTCGGCGCGATTTGCTACTGCTGCTGCTGCTGCGCTTGCTGCTGCTGCTGCTGCTGCTGCTACTGCTGCTGCTGCTGCTGCAGGCCGCGTCGCTGCTGCGGCTGCAACGTGGGGAACTGCGCGAGGATTATATGGGCAAGCACAGAGCGGCCCTTCGATCGAAAGCAAAGGCAGCAAACCGTCACTAGCTGCTGCGGCTGCTGCAGCAGCTGCTGCAGCAGCAGCAGCTGCTGCTATAGCTGCTTCAGCTGCTGCTGCTGCTGCTGCTGAAGCAGTAGCTGTTTTTGCTGGACCGGCTGCTTGCGAATCTGCATTTGCTGCTGCAGCAGCGCAGCTGCAGCGCTCCACCCCGTTCGCGTTTAATAGAGAAGCAGCAGCTGCTGCAGCAGTTGCAGCAGCGGCAACGGCTGCTGCTGCTCTTGCTGCTGCTGCAGCGGTGGCAGCACTGTTGGTTAGGCAGCCAATGGAAGGATAGAAAGAGCCGAAGGCTCTAAACTTTTTTTTTTTTTTCTGATTTTGTTTATTTATTTCTTTTGTATTTCTTTGTTTATTTTTGTTTTTCTCTTTTATTTACTTTTCTCTTTTTTATTTTTGTTTGTTTTTGTTTTCTTTTTTTGTTTACTTTGTCTGTCTACCTTCCTCGTTGTTTATCCTCCAGATTCCTCAGCTCCCCTTGGGGGCTGCACGCGCTAGAAATTAGGGTTTAGGGTTTAGGGTTTTAGGGTTTAGGGTTTAGGGTTTTAGGATTTCCAGTTTAGGTCTTTAGGGTTTTCTTTGTAGCCTTTTAGGGTTTACAGTTTAGGGTTTTAGGGTTTAGGGTTTACAGCTTCCTTTTGAGGGTCTAGGCTCTAGGATTCAGACATTAGGGTTTAGGGTTTAGAGTTAGGGTTTAGGGTTTAGGGTTTATGGTTTAGGGTCTATTGCTTAGCACTTATCGTTTAGGGTGTATTGCTTAGAGTTAAGGGTTTAGTGTTTAGAGTTTAGGGTTTAGGGTTTATGTCTGGCGTTGCGGGTTCGCTGCAAGTTTCTAGTTACTAGCGAATGGCTAGGGTTTAGGGTTTAGGGTTTAGGGTTTGTTTGCGTTTCTCTCGGGCCAAAGGAGGAGCAAGGGGTGTATATTGTTTGGGGTTTAGGGTTTAGGGTTTAGGGTTTAGTGTGTACATACACCGCAGCAGGCAGCAACGAGGTGGCTGGGTTTGTGTGTGTTTACTATGGGGTGTTGCTGGGGGCTGGGGTTGTTGATGAGGGTTTAGGGTTTATGCGTCTGCTGCGTTTGTTCTCTCCTCTGTTTTGTCTTTTCAAGAGTAAATGAAGATTCTTTTTATTAATTTTATCTGTTTGTCTACACAGTCTGCTGCTGCCTTGCTGTGCAGCAGCAGCAGCAGCAGCAGCAGCGGCGGCGCACACCCTCCCTAGCAGCAGCAGCAACAGCAGCAACTTCTGGGGTTTCTGTCTTTGTCTGGTGTAAAATAGACGAAGATAAACAAATAAATAAAATGAAAAACAAATTTGCTGCTGCTGGCTCTCAAGGCGACGCCGTTTCTGCTGCTGCTGCTGCAGCAGGGCCCGCCACAGCAGCAGCGCAGAGGGGGGATAGCACAGCAACAGTATCAGCGGCAGCAGCAGCTGCTGGCGACCTCCAATGCGAAGCTGGCAGCGCACAAATACAGCAGCAGCAGCAGCAGCTGGATCCGGTGCAGCAGTCAGCAGCAGCAGGGCCAGACACAGTAGACGTAGCAGCAACGAACCCCCCAGCAGCAGCAGACACACCAGCAGCAGCAGCAGCAGCAAGAGCAGATATGGAGGCTGCTGAAACAGCGAAGTCAACGGACACAACTCCTGGGGTAGAGGGCAGGCAGCAGCAGCCGCAGCAGCAGCAGCAGCGACGCGGCAGCAAAAGGAGTAGACTCGCATCAGCCTCAGACAGCAGCAGCAGCAGCAGCAGCAGCAGCAGCAGCGGTGGCAATGATGCAGCAGCAGCTGATGAAGCTGAAGCCGCCGCAGCAGATGCAGCCGAGGGCTGCTCCGAGGCTGCCGAAGGCGACGCACATTGTCCTAGCGGCAGCGACAGCAGCAGCAGCAGCAGCAGCAGCAGCAGCAGCAGCAGCAATCCAGGGTTAGAGGCGAAGCAGCGGGCCCGCTTAAAACGACAGTTTGTGCGGACCCCATGGCTGGATATAAACAAAGCGCCCTCGTGGCCCCCCATAAAGAAAAACAAAGTCAGCTGCTGCTGCTTCTCTATCACTCTTTCTCTTTCTCTCTCTTTCTCTCTCTCTTTCTCTCTCTCTCTCTCTCTTTCTCTTTCTCTCTCTCTTTCTCTCTTTCTCTCCCTCTCTCTCTCGCTCTCTTTCCCTCCTTTTTTTGTTTCTGCTTGTATCTTCTTTTTTCTCTGTCTTTGTTTCAGTATCCGTGTCCTTCTCTGTTTGTTTCTCTGTCTCTCTATCGTTTTGTCTCCGTCTCTCTCTTTCTTTTTCTTTGCTGCTTTATATTCTGTCTCTCCCTATATCTGTTTGTCTTGTCTCTCCCTGCGTTTTTTTGTTTAGTTTTCGTTTTTCTGTTTTTTGTTTTTATTCTTTTTTCTATTTCCCCCTCCTTTTATTTATTTGTCTCAACTAAATTAATTAATCAAATTAATAAAACAAATAGACAAATGACTTATTTATTTATTTTATTTATTTATTTATTTATTTATTTATTTTCTTTTTTTTTATTTTAGTTTCTGGATACGGATTGGAAGATCGTGGATTTCCGGCCGCAGACACCCGAAACGAAGCGAAGCAGGCAAGCGGGCTCTTCGTCTCTTCTTTATCTTTATAATTAATTAATTAATTAATTTTATTTATTTATTTATTTTATTTGTTTATTTTATTTATTTATTTTATTTTATTTATTTGTTTGCTTTTAGGCTGTTCCTGAATTCGCTTTGTTATTTGTGCGAGGGAGTCATCACCAAGAAAAGCACTCTCGGCAGGAAGGCAGGTACCGTCCTGCTGCTGCTGCTGCTGCTACAGCTGCTGCTGCTGCTGCTGCTACAGCTGCTACTGCGGCTGCTGCTGCTGCTACTGCTGCTGCTGCTACTGCTGCTGCTGCTGCTACAGCTACTGCTGCTGTTGCTACAGCTACTGCTGCTGCTGCTACAGCTACTGCTGCTGCTGCTACAGCTACCGCTGCTGCTGCTACAGCTGCTGCTGCTGCCGCTACAGTTGCTGGTGGTGTCGGCGTTGTTTCTGCTGTTTTTGTCTGTCTGCATCTCTCCTGCCGCCTGCACTGCGCTATTTCAATCCTTTTGTAATTATTACGACTGCGAATTGTTATTATATATAATTATAATTATTAATATTTATTAATATTCATAAATAATATAATATTTATTATTCATTACTACTCGTGATTTGTATATCTTTTTTTTTTTATTTAGGTTTGGGTTTGTTCTGCGCCAAGTCCGATGGCTTCGCTAGGGGGGCTATAATTACTGAATTTGTTGGGTGGCTCGTAGACAGAGAACAGGCAGAACAACTCAGACACAAACGAAGAGCATCTCATATTGTTGCTGTGCAGGTGTGTTGCTGCTGCTGCTGCTGCTGCTGCTGCTGCTGCTGCTGCTGTTGATATGACCACTGCTACTAGTGTAACTGCTGCTGCTGCTGTTGTTGCTGCTGCTGTTATTTTTCTTCGTCTTTTTAGATGAACTCTGGTTGCTGCTTCCTTTGTTGTTTATTCACGTCCTTCTTTTATATTTATTTGTTTTGTTTATAGCTTACGTGTATTATTTATTTCCTCCTGTGAACTATATAAAAATAAATAAAAAACTTAAATTAATAAAGTTGAGTTGAGTGTATTAATTACTTATTTGGCTTCAGAAGGGGTTTCTTTACATCGACGGCGTGAAGGAGCCGTACTATGGCACGGGGGGCGCCAGCTTCGCCAACGACGGCAGCGAATTCCTTGGGGGCCCCGGAAATAACTCTATCT